GGGGGAGATCGGGTACGTTCCTCCGTTCTTCTAGGAGGAGGGGATTAAGGCCTCCTGTATCTTCTAGGGGGCCTTCAGTCGTCTTCAAGCGCTCTCAATCTTTCCCCCTAGGAAAAGATGAGATAGTTGGTCTGGTTAATTGCTGCGAACAGTGCCCTGGTCGTAGCGTCTGCCCCGGCGGGGACAGGGACCTCGTGGAATTGGACGGTTGGATCCTCTTCAAGCCGAGGAGGGACTGATGAAGATGAAGTCGTGGCTCTGTCCCAGTAGTTAGAGGACTCGGGGACGATGCCTCTAGGGAGTATTTTATGGTCGGTGATGCCGGTGTTGTCGGGGCCATCATTTTTGTCGATGATGTAGTTGTTAACTTCAATGACGTGGATTTTCTGGTTGTCCTGAGTCTGGTCAGCCATGATAGTCGAGGATGGTTTTAGCTTTGGTCTTTTTAAGTGAATAAGACGGGGAAGCTTAGTTTCCCACAGACGGCGCCACTGATCGTACCTGATCAGAATTGGACCGTCACAGCTGGCTTCGAATTAAATTTGAAGGAGATGAGGGGGTACCTGCAAGACACTCTGATGACAAAGCGAGAGACAGAATGAGCAGGCAAGCAAGTATATTGGTGTGTATGAAATGAATACCTGATCCTCTCGAAATAGAGGGTATTTATAGCCCCCAGCGTTGGGCCAAGGTCCCTTTATTGGACTGACCAAACAAGCCCAACAAAGGGACTGCCAGGTTCTACATGTGTAGTGGGGACCTGCACGTGGTCCCCTACCTGGATGATGCTCTCCGCAGAATAGGGAGGATGAATACGCGATCTTTCCGGGACCCTGAGGACTCCGGGATATTCATAGATGTTGAGAATCTGCCCTACGAGGAGGGTGCTAGAGCAGGGCTTGGATTGGGATATTCCTCAGCTGGGACGTCCCTCGTCGGGGACACTCTTCGCAGTCACCGACGGGCACAGTCGTATCCGAACAGTCTCCCATGATCGGGATGTTCCGGGGAGTCTAATGCTCAGCATGGTATGTTGTAAAGCTTGGATTGGGCCTCGCTAGTGATTGGGTCACGGGCAGACCCAGTCCAGAACAATTTTTATGTTTATTATTCCACTTTTTTCTAATTTTATGTTTATATATTAAATGGAAAGTCGTTGTCTAAATATGATGAGTTTTTTTTGTTATTTGATAATATATGAATGACTAAACAAGAAGTTATGCTATCATCTATATGTGTATGTATGACTCAATAAAAATATTATAAAAAACCGAACCAACATAATCAAATTAAACCGCAATGATTTGGTTTGATTTGGTTTGATTTCTAAAAGTCAACCAAATCAAACCGCGTGTTTTTCTCTCTCGCGGTTCGGATGATTTTTAGCTTCAAAATTGCCCAAACCTCACTTCAAACACCCATAGGGTGAATAGACCTCCCAGTTAAAAATACCTTCTTTGAAAATAGTTTGAATTACTTTTATCAGAATTTTAAAACAAAAATGAGTTTGCGTGGCAGAAGTGAACTTTTACGTAAAATAGATTATGCTTATATGAAATTGGTATGTAAAGATATAAGTAGTTCACAACACAATCAAATTGAAATCTCAAATCAGACCAAATATACAAACAAATGAGTATATTGAATTATTGTCAAAATTATACGATAAGTGTCATTTTTACAACATAAATACTATACAGACTCCACAACCACGGTTTTCAAATAAATCTACAACAAGATAAGGTTGAATTTCCAATTCTAACAAAACCTACACCTTTACAATAAAATTCAAAAGAAATCCTAATGACATGCAATTTCTAGAAAGTAATAAGGAACAACATAATCATGCAATTAACTATGAAAATTAAAAAGGAGGGAGAGAGAGAGAGAGAGAGAGAGAGAGAGAGAGAGAGAGAGAGTATATCGGGATTTATACTAGTTCGATGCATTCCTCCTTGCTTTGCGCCTACTCTAGTCTCTTATGGTTGCCCATTGAAAATTTGTTTGTCTTTCAATAATATTTCTGACAAAAATTACATTGACTTTTGTATAATCACAATATCTAAATTAACACTGAAAATATAAAAATCTTTTTTTTTTATCTTAGACTTGTACACAATATACGAACTGAACTCTTTACACAATCTTCACGTGAAATCGCTTCTAATCTTCAAGACCCGACAACCTTCTCCTAAGTTTTTGTTTTACGGAAATATTTACTCGGCCCCATCGATATCTTGAGCATTGGTCTATCTAAATATTTAGAAGAACTTATACCTCTTTTGTAGGCTTCCACACAGCACAATCAAGGTCAGCCTGGATAGAAGAACTTCCTTCTTTTCTCCTAAAATTGTCAAAACTAGCCACAACACCACACACCATGTGAACCTCTGAAATCTTAACAAATATTCACAAAAGAAAACGTTAAATTCAAAATAAAACAATCACTAATCTTCGAAAATGATATTCTGATTCATACAATAATGAAGAAAGAATGGGATGGGAGATGAAAGAAATCCTTTGCAAATATTCACGAAGGATTCAAAACTCTTTTGAAAATATGAAAGAACAAGTAGTTTGTGGACTCTCAAATCAATATTGAAATTGTGTTTTTTTTTAACATTGTGAGGATTTTGAGAGAAAATGATTTTTATAAGTGTTGGAGGTATATCACAAAATGAGTGAAAAAATTATGTTTGATTTGAGTCACAAGCAACAATATGATTTGAATCAAGGAACAAAGTGCTTTGAATCAAGAAATGAAACATATGAGAAACCCATATTTATGATTTTGATCATGATTTGAGTGATGATTCGATTCATGAAAATGTATGATTCGAATCAAACAAGATATGGGCTAAACATGGAAATGCAAGATTGTATGATTCGAGTCAAGTGTAACATGTAATTCAAATCAAATGGTGATATGATTTGAATCAAGTATAAGTTTTAATTTGAATCATGACAACTTTAAATACTTCCTACAATATATGTTTCATTTGATTTGAGTCATATGATGTGAGATTCAAATCACACACCTAAAATCTCAAATATTTACAATTTTAAAGATATTTTGAGATCCTACCAATGTCATGACTTGAACTAATCTCAAATTTAGTTCTTGATTCAAAAAGCTCGACAAGTTGAATTAATGCATATGGCTTATATTATAATCAAAAACTTTGATTTATGCATGCTAAAATACAAATCTAAAACTCGATCCAAAAATACGCAACTGGTGAGGAGACTTAATGATATAAAACTAAAAACCAAAAGCTTAAGATACAAACAACAAAACTATAATTGTTAAGATAGCAGAGACGTGCAACTTCAAAATACACTAAATTTTAAAATGCAAGAAAGCGAAATGTCAAAGAGGGAAGATAATTGCTAAACTGGGAAAATGACTCAAAGAAAAGCAAAGTTGACTCTTCAAAAACTATACTCTAGCATGCAAAAGGAAGTAGACTCTATCAAACGTGTCAAATCACTCGCACGCAACTCTCAAGTGTTCAAGTTCCCAAGAGTCGTAATGATGACATTTCTGAAAACACATTTGAAGTATGGGGAATTAAATGCGTGAATCCCCAAGAAACTAAAAATATTAATTTTCCTCTTCCAAAAGTAAATAAGAGAGTGGTCGGCATCTAAGGCTAACGTGATAAACCCTCTCCTTGTACGCATAAGCAAGGGCTTATGGGGCACTGCAATCCTTTCAAAATCTTCTCAGCACACAATAATCGTCCTAATAGCGAACACATGAGATCCAAGCCTCAAGTGCACCAACGACTCTCCGCAATTCTCTCTTAACTAATAGCAAGTTAGTTATATCATCTCTATTGTATATAGGAAAGGCGCCTATTCATGTATTAAGTTTCAAATTCAATTTTAATTCACTCTTCTGCCTCACATATAGACTTGAGTGTTAGGGTACTAATATTGTAAGTCGGACCCTCTACATTGCACCAGAAATTTAAATTTGTCATTACTTCCAATCCTCAATTCATTTCTAGTTCTATAACAAAACAAATAGCATATATATTATGTTTTAATAGGATTTCATTATTTGTTAAATGATTTATTTTGTTCACATTTTGTACATTTTATATATATATATATATATATATATATATATATATATATATATATATATATATATATCAATTAATACTTAAAGAAGTTACATTCTTTACCATAATTTTAGTTAAAATAAATTTTAACAAAGATACAAACAAAAATTAAGTTTGGTTAGTTAATAAGGAAGGCTAACAACGGACAAAAGATAAGTAGTATAAATTACACAAAAAAAGTATAAATAGTCAAATTTGTAAATTAAAAAAAAAAAAGAAAAAAGTGAATGCTAGAATCTCATAATTGTCAAACTTTTTATTTATATGTAAATTGCTCAACTACTATAACATCTTTTAGATGTGTCGTGTCCAAAGGCTCCAAGAAAGATGTTCTTACTTTCTCGCCTAACAAAGCAATTAAAAGACCCAATTACGTAAAGAATAAAAATAATTATTTTACTTATCTCTTTATTAAAGAAGATTCTCATCTTCTCCTTGTTTTTCATTTCAAATAAGTTATACTTAACACATTTATATTAAAATAAGAAATCATATAAATTAGTCATATATTTTCTATGCAGAATCGCAAAAATTAACAATAAATAGTAAAGATCTTCTTAAATAGTTTTTGAGCACACTAATAAAAAAAAACACGAAAGAAAAATAAATTAATCACATTTTTAACATTACTTAAATATTTTTCTCTTTTAAATTTAATTCTATTTATATATTATTTTTCTTGTAAAACTTCTGTTACATTGTATACAAAACCTCTTCTCATAGGTCTACATTGCTTGTTAAGATAACCGAAACAAACCTTGGAACCCACTCAAAGAACAAAAAGAGCTTCAAACTCTTAACTCAAACCCCTTTACTTCCAAATTCACAAACACTTGTCAACCAAATAATATTTTTCTTCTTCCATCAACCATGTCTCTTCAACCTCCACCACAACAACCTGTTAATGTTTACCCAACCACAGTCACAAACCAACCATCTTCTCATTCAAATGGAAATTATGGTCCAGTTTTCATCGTCCTAGCAATATTACTAGTCATTTCAGTAGTTGGTTGCTTTCTCGGACGCCTTTGCAACCGACGCAAAATTAATAGCAAAAACAATCAAGATCGTCCACGCGAAGCTCCCTTGAGACGCTCGGTTAAGCCGAATAGGCAGCAGCAGATTCATGATATACAATCAAGAGAAGACGAGGATGTCGAACTTGGTGGGATTGACAAAAGAAGGCCTCCACCAATAATTACAAGGCCTAGAGTTGTTGCTTTTGAACCAGAAGGAAGAGGCTCTCAGCCACATGGGAATTTTAATGGTAACATGAATGATTTTGAAATGAAATCTGATCATGAAGGTGATCATCAGCATAGAACAGGTTTAAGACAATGATATCAAACTATATACAATCTTTAGTAACTTAATTATTATACGTAAATATTCAATTTTATTAAATAATTAATATATTTTATATAGATTTAATGTATTAATTATTCAATAAATTTAAAAAATAATTATGTATTTATAATAATGACTAGAAGTGTATGCTATCAGATTGTGTAAGTTAGCCATGGACCACGGTATGCTTTTAAAATTCCCACTATAGATTTAATTCCTTGTAATTATCTTCTTTAATTTGCTTTAATTTTCAGTATTGGATTTCCAAACTCATGATGTAAATGTAATTAAGATTATATATATGTTTTTTTTACTAGCTTTTATGCTTCAAATTTACTTTAGAAAATTGCACGAATGACGTGTATATATGGCATTGTTTTGATGAGGACTACTATCTTTTGAATGTTTAATTTTCTTTTCAAAAAAAAAATTCTTATTTCTCGAAGATATACACGAGAAATACTTGTATAGTAATTATATTTATATTTTTTAAAACAATTAATAAGAAAAAAAAATTAATTTAATTGTTTTTTTAATTGGAATCATATACTGTTACAAAAAACATTTATAATGATGGTTATAAAATACATATAATGACAGATGCATGTCCGTTGTTAAGTAGCATCTGATTGTATGTATGCTAGTTACTACAACAGACATGTGATTGTGGTTATAAATTAGATAATACATTATTTATAACTACGAGTGAAGGAAGCAGTTGTTGTGAAAAAATTTATAGATTTTGGGTTCGAATCCTAACAAAAAAATTTAGTTTTATTATTTTAGATGGCGTTCTACGTACTTATAATAACGGTTGAATTAAAAATCGCTATGATATTATTTGTTTTCTTTTAATATATATTTTCTGGTTTACATAATTCTCAAATTCTTAACCTGGATATTAGACCAGAAATAACAATACATTCATTTGTGAATTGAATTAAATAAAAAATTGTATTACATCAATGACACAATTTCATTAGGAACCAAAAATCATATATTACATCAAAATCAAAATGACACAAAGCAACCTAATATTTATACATCATTACATTAAATAATATTACCTTAGTGTCTTGGTGTCTTAACTTTAAACACCTCTAATTTTAAATAATAATAGTTTTTAGAAAATAACATCATTAATAATTATAACATACAATAAATTATGAATGAAGAATATAAAATTTTTATTTATTAATTTTCTCATATGTCTTGTTGATTATCGTTACGAACAACATGCATGTCATTTATATCAACTTATTCATAAGAAGTAGGCACTTGTGTTGTATAAGAAGGAGTGGAAGTAATGTCAAAACTTTCATCATCACTGTGAGAAATGTGTTTTCCTTTGAGAATAATTGATCTTCTCCTCGATAAGTCTACAGGGCATGTCACATAAAAAAGTTGTTTTGCTTGAGTAGCCATGATGAATGGTTCGGTCTTATAAGTTATCTTGTCAAGGTCAACCCGTGTGAATCCTAACTCATCAGCTTGTATATCGTTGTTATTATGAACCCACTTGCATTTAAATAAAGACACTTTGAAAATAATATAATCAATCTCAAAAATCTCCTCAGTTACATCATAAAACGCGGTGGTTGCCAAAATAAGATTTTTTATCTTTCAAACTAGATAAATGCATGGATTTAGCCTCAACCATAACTTCACTATTTTGCATTGTATTACAATCATCTTTTACTTTTATATAAAAGAAATAATTAGAAATGTTGTATGTCGTCCAAGTTATCACAGTAAATTATGGCATGTACGATAACCATTTAATTGTCCCGGATGCACCATCATCAGTAAAAATACTCTTATTAAACCAACTTATGAATTTCTTGTTATGTCGTGTCAACAACCACTTGTCATTCATTCGGGAATATTTTTTATAGTTGCTTTGTAAGTAGCTATGTAAGGTTCAACTACACTAAGATTATTCAATATATAGTGCTTAAAGTATTGTATCATGATCCATTGACTTAACATTTAAACCTTTAGTATCTCTACCTTCAAATCTGTCAACATGACGAGATTTTAGATTTCCAATAGACTCTGTTTTCGGAAAATAGTTTGAACAAAACTCAATAGCTTCTTTTGTGATCTACTTTTCAACGATTAAAGCATCTGATCAGTGATGATTCTTCGTACATCCTTTAAATATCTTCATATATCTCTCTATAGGATACATCCACCTTAAATAAATTGGACCACGCAATCTGATTTCTCTGACTAGATGAATAAGTAAGTGAACCATAATGTCAAAAAATGATGAAGGAAAATACATCTCCAATTGACACAATAGTATTGCAGTCTTGTCTTCTAATTCATCTAATTTTTTGAAATCAAGAAGTTTACTACATATAGCGTTGAAGAATCAGCACAATCTGGTTATATTTAATCTTACATTTTTTAGAAGGATGCCACGAATAGCCACTGATAGAAGTTGTTGCATCAAGACATGACAATCATGAGATTTTAAGCCAATTAACTTGAAATATTTAATTGATACAAGTTTCTTGATGTTTGAAGAGTAACCTTGGGGAACTTTGATACCATGCAAACACTCGCAAAAACTTTTCTTTTCCTTTTTAGGTAGAGTATGACATGTCGGAGGCAAATAAGATCTTTTTCTTCTATCTTCTGGAGCAACTGTTTTCATATACCCATCTCCACCATATCTAAATGGGGAATTTTTATCATCTTTAGTCTTGTCTGGAATGTTTAAAAAGGTTCCTATCAAACTATCACACACATTTTTATCCATATACATCATATCAAGACAATGTCTTACATCGAGGTTAGACCAATATGGAAGATCAAAGAACACAAATCATTTTTCCAAATATATCTCTCAACTAGACCATCTTTATTCTTTCCAAAGAAGACAATAAGGTCTTCTTGTCGTTGATAAACTTCATCCCCAGTTAAAAGTTTAGGAGCAATTTCAAACTCCTGCTCCTCATTAAAAGCCTTCTGCAATCTATGATAAGGATGATTGGGTCTTAGAAATTTTGGATGCCCAAGGTAAGCAGTCTTTTTTCCAAATTCAAGATGGTTAAAACATGTATTATATTCATATCACTACTATGAAAAAGTCATTTAACAACGGTTGAGAAATATATATAACCGTGTGGGACAAGGCATTAATATGTAGCGTGTAGTTGTATATGCGGTACTTACAATCACGATCTTAAAACTGTTGTAGTATTCTTGAAAGCGCGTGCCATATCACAACAATTAATTAACACAATCATTATGATAGAACTAAAGGTCACAGGTTCTATTCACAGCGTCAACATTTTGTAATTGATATTATTCTGGTCATCCTTCAATATACAATCACGACTAGGTTTTATAACCGCTATCAAAACTTCCTCTGTTTTAAATATGAAATTCTTTGTTTCTCAAATTCTTTCAATTTTTTATCCTATAACTATTATAACCATATCATAGAATTTACAACAACTCGTATTTTTGTTAACCATGCATAAAGAGCAAAAAAAGCAGCTAACATTGTGCATCAAAAGTCAAAATTAGTATTTACATCAAATACAATATGTTTAAGTCAAAAATAATATTCACATAATCATATATAGAAAATAAGTCATTAACACGTCTCAATAAATCAAATAGCATGACCCTTAAGCACATTGTGAATATACACCCAACATTTACGAAGATCGACAAAATCCTCAACAGGGAATGAGGTTACATCGTTGAACATCTACGTAAGAAAGAGTAAAAAATTGTTTAATATATGTAAATTTATATATTAATATATGTAAACATATTATAACATATATACATTATCCCATGAATCAATAATATTGGCAAGGACAATGTGTAACATGTGTTTCATGACATAATACCCACACTCGTATTTCTCGGGTTGTTTTCTCGTCTACAGATGAATGTAACCACACATAAATGTAACCACGCATGAATATAACCACAAAGGAATGAATACACATGAATGTAAATGAAAGAAACGGGTAATCGGACCACTTACTTCAGGAGAGATCCATGAGGGCTTTCTTCTAACATTTTTCATCATATTCACTTGCTCCATAATACTTTACATTGAAAATGAATTAAACATATTACATTCTAAACTAATTACAATATCAAAGAAAATGAATTAAACATACACTTACGAATTAATAATCTCTTTCATTTTCTTTTCGAGTGGATCATGCAAAGAACACAGTACAGTTATCGTGTTCGTCTTAAATGATATTATGATCAATTTCCAATGACCACTGAATAAACATGAGCATATATGTTATTAGTATTTTATAAAATAAAACTAAATATAGAATACATAAACATCAATTACAAAAATACGTGCAAACAGAGAAATAGTGTGAAGTAACATTCTTTTCCTCCCTCATTTAACCGTTTTTTCAAGTAATCTTGAATGTCTTTTGGTTGATTATACACCCATCGAATAAAAAGCGGATCCAATATTCCATATATACTCGATTTATTTAACTCTATACAAACACGGTGAATGCACCTAAATGATTAAAGAAAATGAATAAATTAATTGAGAAAATACAAAAAAATGATAATATTCTATAATGACATGTATATTCAACTATATACTTACGTGCACCGAACTTGTAATATCCCTATGTCCACCCACTTATATCCACCGAGAAAATCCCTTATATCTTCAGTACTGTAATAGAATAACTCCAAATATGGACAATGTTCTAGCATGAGAGGTTACGTATCATTTATCACCGCAACATTCAAGTATAACGTGGTGATTTCATTTGAGTTAGGGTCAAATAACTCATTGTGAATATCTGGAGGGGGGAGGGGATGAACAATTACTTCCTTTTGTAGAAGCACGACGTATAACACTTTTACTTGGAGTTTGATCATGATCAAGATCAAAATCATGATCATCATCACCATTAACATAACGTTGATCTTCATTTGTATGTTGTTCGAGGTTTTCACTTAATCTCTAGATCATAATATTC